CTGGCCACTCCCTTCCCCAGCCATCCTCATCTAAGAACCACCTCTCACTCTCTATATAAACAAGCACACCAACTTGGGTGAGTTATGACATTACATACATAGTACCTTAAACTACATAGCAAGTAGCTAAGCCTGTTCCCATTTACAGTTGTGTCTGAGGTGGGTAGAGCTACTTAGCTTCATCAATGGCTTTCTTCATAGCTCTTCTTATGGTGGGCTTTGGGGTGTGTATCCTCAGTGGGGTTTTACTGAGATGGAATGAAATGAGATACAGGAAGAAAGGCCTCCCTCCTGGTACTATGGGTTGGCCTCTCTTTGGGGAGACCACTGAGTTTCTTAAACAAGGTCCTAGTTTCATGAAGAACCAGAGAGCAAGGTGATTTAATGATTTTGTTTTCTTGATACGACCCCACATCGACTCTTTCAGGATTATTGAGGGAGTGGTAATCGAGTTACCACTTCCTCTGTCATTCCTGAAGGATGGATTGAGAGAGTGGTAGTCGAGATTTTAACTTTGTCACAAAAACTACCACTTCCTCGATCATTTCTGAAGAAGCTGGATGGATATATCCAGCATCGACTCTTCCAGGATTGAGGAAGTGGGTAACTGAGGTTCTAACTGTACCACAAAAGCTGCCACTTTCTCTACCATTTCTGAATGAGATGTCTGGATCCCAGACTCTTCAGAATGGTAGTCGAGGCTCTGACACTGTCACAAAAGCTACCACTTCCTCTACCATTCCTGAATGAGATGTCTGGATCCCAGACTGTTCAGAGTGGTAGTCGAGGCTCTAACACTGTCACAAAAGTTACCACATCCTCGATCCTTCCATAAGGAGATGACCAATAGTAATGGTTGTTGTTATTGTACTACTTGCAGGTATGGGAGTTTTTTCAAATCCCACATACTTGGGTGTCCTACCATTGTTTCAATGGATGCAGAGGTGAACAGATACATACTTGCCAATGAGTCAAAAGGGCTTGTCCCAGGGTACCCTCAGTCCATGCTTGATATTCTTGGAAAGTGCAATATTGCAGCAGTCCATGGCTCAGCTCACAAGTACATGAGAGGGGCATTGCTGTCTCTCATCAGCCCTACCATGATTAAACACCACCTCTTACCCAAGATTGATGAGTTCATGAGCTCCCACGTCAGCACCACCTGGGATCACAACATCATTGACATTCAAGAAAAAACCAACAAGGTTTAATTTGTTGCCACTTTAGTCTCCAATGTTTCAATTCCTCTGTGTTCTAATTCCAGTGTTTTTTTTTTTTTTTTTTTTTGTCAAAAACAGATGGCATTTCTTTCCTCCTTGAAGCAAATTGCTGGCGTTGAATCCAGCTCAATAGCTCAGGAATTCATGCCGGAATTCTTTAACCTCGTACTGGGAACTCTCTCCCTGCCTATAAACCTTCCCAACACAAACTACCGACGTGGCCTTCAGGCAAGGGTGAATATAGTCTCCCTGTTGAGAAAACTCATAGAAGCAAGAAGGGCTTCCCAGGAAAAACACCATGACATTCTTGGGTTCTTGATGAATGAAGAAGAGAATCGATATAAACTAAAGGATGATGAGATGATTGATCTAATCATCACGATTTTGTATTCGGGATATGAAACTGTTTCCACCACTTCTATGATGGCTGTCAAGTATCTACATGATCACCCAAAAGTGATTGAGGAACTAAGAGTAAGTACACTCTAAAATGCAGCAGCTTTAGCTTAATTGATATATATAACTGATAATAAAACCAGCAGGCAGCTGATTCAAGTTGAAATTCTGCAGAAAGAGCATATGGGAATTAGAGAAAGGAAAGGACCAAATGATCCTATTGACTACAGTGACTACAAATCAATGAGATTCACACGTGCTGTAAGTGTCAAAAATGGTTTTATTTTATAAAACATGTTCAATAAGCTAAAAAAAAATGTTGGGCAGAGGCCAGTTAAGGGCCAAGTCCAACACCAGGCCGCTAAAGGATTGTTGGGCGGGGCCAAGTCTAGCACCAGGTGATTAGGGGATTGTCGAGCGGAGGCCTGATGGGCTAAGTTCAACACCCTGTCTCTGGAAAATGTGGCAATATAAGGAAATAAAGTTGCACATTCACTACTACATACTAGCTATAATTATCGGTGTAGTGATAAGCGTTTGATCCTAACAGAATGATTCTAATAATGCAGGTGATCTTTGAGACTTCAAGGCTAGCAACAATAGTAAATGGGGTCCTCAGGAAAACTACTAGTGATATTGAACTCAATGGTACGTATCCAAAATGTTGAATATATAATATATAAACATAAATGTGTAATCCAACCATCAGCTTAGACTTTTAGTTGAGATGGAGCACATGCTCCAATTCAGAAGGACATAATTTCTGCACATTACCACTATGCACTTTTTCAGATTATAATATGAGCAGCCCCATAGTTTCTTTATTCGGCAGACCTTTTTTATAATGAAAAATATAATGGAAATCTCATGTAGTGTGATAGGATATATAGGAAACGTATTAATTAGAGATTGTCATCCCATAATGGACCCTCTCATATATAGTGTCCACATGGCACAGCTTCCATTCCAGCCTAGACATATCCCATTCTTGACCCATCTGTTTCCCAAGAGAATTATTCTATTTGCAGTTTGGGACAAGAGAAAGATGGTAGGGAAGGATCTCATTCTGTATAGTCATTTCATCATTTCATTAAAAATAAAATTAAAGCAACCTTAACTTTTTTCACAACTAAAAACATAACCTTCCTGGCTTCATTCATTCCTATGATTATTGATGATGTTCCTTTTTTAACTGTCATGCTATCTTTCCAGGTTTCTTGATTCCCAAAGGATGGAGAATATATGTGTATACAAGAGAGGTTAATTATGATCCGCGCCTATATCCCGATCCATACACTTTCAACCCCTGGAGATGGCTGGTTAGTAACCTTAAATTTCTCAGCTAGTACCTGGTACCTGGTACCTGGTACTTTAGCAGCATAATAAGTTGGATGTTTTGACTAACATTGTACATGGTGGATCACCAGAACATGGAGAACCAGAACCATTCAATGATATTTGGAGGTGGCAGCAGGCAGTGTCCTGGAAAGGAACTTGGGATGGCAGAAATCTCAACATTCCTCCATTACTTTGTAACCAGATACAGGTAAAACTAGAGGAACATTAACACTATAGTAAAAAATTTGTTGAGATTAACGAGAACAACAATCAATAACAATGACAGAAAGTAAAACAGATAAAATTTTTGTTAGGATCAAGTGCTTACCACTACGCCAAAAACTATAGCTAGTACCATCACATTTTCAAGAGTCAGGGTGCTGGACTTGGCCCTTTACTGGCCTCCGCCCAACAATCCTGAGCCACATGGTGCTGAACTTGACCCTTACTGGCCTCCGCTCAACAATTTCTTACATCACAGGAACGAAGCTGTTCTTTTAATTAATTGTGATGGTAATAAAAAAAAAAGCCTAGAGATATAATCAATATAATTATATGTATTTTTAAACATGTATATGTACTAAAATACCCTCGCGGGGCTCCTGCCCCTGCACCCCGACCCACTCGACTCCGCTTCATTTTGTACATATGAGACATACACAACAAACTATCTGTTGATAATTATGTTAATAATCAGCTAGTAATAATGTTGCATATACTTTGTGGAGTGCAGATGGGAGGAAGTAGGGGGAGACAGGTTGATGAAATTTCCAAGAGTTGAAGCGCCAAATGGGCTACACTTCAGGGTTTCACCCTACCAACCATCACTGAATTGATGTACAGAAAAGGACATACCACAAAGAAACTATATATACAATCATGTCAATGTTAACAGGGATGTAATAATTAATTAATATAATATAATATAGAGTTGTGGCTAACATGTATAGAGAAATGTAACAAATTAAACCCAATTTTTGCAGGAAATTCGTTTCCAACTGAATGTCCGGTTGTAGCCTTAGGCATTGTATTAAAATAATGGTGCAATGTTACAATAAAGGTCTCTTTAAAATGATTTCGGCTTTCCATATCCATATATTTTTTTTTACAGTTCTTTAAGTTTTTATTTTCTATTAGAAAGTATGTTCGAATTTCAATTGGTTCTTCATTGCAGTACATATATAAGTGGTAAAATATAATATTAGTAAGGGGAAGATAGGGAACATGCAACTACTATGCAAGGTTTTATCCTGGATAAATTAGGCTAGATTATTGTCTATAATTGACGGACTCAAACCAAGAAGGTTAATAGGTTGCTTCCACTAAAAGTCAAATTTGAAACCTTGTAATTATACTTAAAAAAAAAACAAAAAAAAAAAAAAATTGAAAAGTTTAGAGTCTAATTCTCCCCATGACAATCGTTATATAGTGAACCATGATCCACACAATTGTGTGAATTATGGTCTAACACGACGCCATTACTTTCAATTAAAAAAAACATGTGCTATTACCGTGAACAAATGACGTATCACATTACATATATGATGTGTCAAATGAACATATATTATAATTAAAATAATATTTAAAAAAAAAAAATCGACAAGTATCCTTGGCTCCTTGCTATATTTTATGTGCGGGGTATAGTAAGGTATAGAATTATATAACATACGCCGATACGCATGCTTTACATAAACACGATATAATGAACATGAATTATGTGAATTATGAACATGAATTCTGTGTATTATATGTCCTCAGCTATATAATACACAAAATACATATTCATTATATCATATTTATGTGTAAATGTATTATGAACATGAATTCTGTGTATTAAACCAGGATCCATAGTACACTGCGAACCCTAGTCCACAATATAATGATTGCCTTAAAATAGGTTGTATCTGTGCTATGTTGACTTGCCTAAAAATCAGAAAATATTTACTCATAGAAAGTAAAACTGTTGTCATATCGTTCGATTTTATTGGAAAGAGGAAAAAAAAACTTGAGAAAACACAATTCTAAAAAAAACTTGAGAAAACACAATTCTTCAAGGAAATAATGAATTGAATACGTTGCCAAGAGCTCTGTTTCCATGCACATCAGTTGGAGGAAACCAACACCATAACAAAATTTGACCTTTCAGAATCAAAATTTCAACATACATGGCAGAGCAATCTTCTTTTTGATGTAAGAACTTTCAGTAAATTTCAGAATGGGATGAGTCTCTCTGTGTGCAAGTAGATGCAGCAGAAGAAGAAACATATTGTCATATTAATAGCTTTACGACTCTTGAGGGGGATCTTCTTCTGTCTTCTTACGCTTGGCTGCAGGTTCTTCGTCATCTTCGTGGTTGCTTAATCCATTCATTGCTTCTGGACCCAAAAGAGAGATATGTTTGCTCATGATCTGGCGGCCGGCCTTGAGTTTTGGGCCCCAATGTCTTTCGGGATTGGGAAGGAAGCGTGCAACCTTCTTTGCCTGTGCCTTGCTCAGCGATGCAACGGCCCGTGCAAAATTCGCCTAAAGAAAAAAGCATTATAGAGAAATAAGTTTCGGGTTTTAAAAACCACAAAAGTTTGCTCAACTTCTCATTGTTGAGCATATATAATATAATATATATAAACATAAATGTGCAGTCCAACAATCAGATGGAGTGCAGGCTAATGTCATGGGTTCAAATCTCTGCGTCACCAGATAAAAAGAGATTATGGTCCACGTGTTGCTTGAAGCCGTCAAAAGTAACCAGCTCGAACACGTGAGGGGGCGTGTTAAGCATATAATATATATAAACATAAATGCAAAATTTAGCAAGAGACGATCAGCGCATCATATGAAATGCACCTGCAGAACAGGTTCCTTAGCAAGAATCACGCTTCCAGACAGTTCAAGCGGTTGAGCTTTCACAGGATGATTTTTGACCTACATAGAAAATTCAATTTCAAGACTAATATATTAGTATATGCACGGGGGGTTTGGGAGAAACAATAAGATCCACTTACCCAGCAACGCATTATATCCCAAATGACCTCCATTGGAGCATCCGTTTTCAGCCCCAAAGGACACACATGAGTTCCCGATATACGATATCCTGCATTGATCACTGCAGACCGAAACATAACTGCGGAGGGAGAAGTACATTTGAGCGTTGCACAGAGATTGTGCAAACTTAGAAACAGAGGAACATCTGGTAATTCCTGCAAAGAAGAACACTTCAAATCAAGCAATCCACGACCACCCCTTGAAAAAAAAAACATTTTGATTATAGAAGGTTAGAATCTTTATCAATAGGAGGGAGAACGCACCTCTGAAATTGTTGTCAGTATAGCAGAGATTCGGTCATAAGCAGGATACCGGTTCTTCATCGATTTCACATCCGCAAGAATGGAAGCTACCCACTCTTGATCGTGGATTGGAGCAGACCATATAGGTCCACCCATGTTCAATTTCTTACCACAATCACCGCAATCTTGAGTAACAGTCGGACCAAACCCGGGAAGAAACCTCACATTGTTGTTCTGGGGCAGAGGGATAAAACAAAATCAAGGTTGAAACAAAATCCTAGGTTCAATAACAACCTTAGACCTCAGTTTGATGAATAGATTTACCTTGGACACAGTTCTACCGAGTGGCTGAAGATGGAAAGAATCACAACCGATGCACTGATAAACATATGACAGCTTTAAGGGAGTATTCTTCATAGCACTTGCCGAACTGCAAACAGTTCTTCGAAAGCTTAGACCGACATAATTAACCGAGGACCTACACCAATCTCTATAAATGAAGAAATACTTACGTATAGATGCGAACAAAGACACGCACATAGAAGTCAATATGAACTGACAATACAGGAACAATATATCTTTTGTGTCGATTTGCATGGCTCTGAAATAGAAATTTTAAAACACAGCAATGCAAGAAAACTTATGAGAATAGGATTGAACGATTGAGGGAAGAGATTAGAACTATGAACAAACTGCTTTTTTTAATAATACAAGCAGGGCACCTCAAAAGGTTGGCTTCTTAGTAAATGAAAAATAGAAAACATTGTTTATATAAATACCTCAATGCAGGCAAGAAGTATCCTCAATGCCATTTCATGATAATATTTTCCTTTCAATGGATAAGAACCATATCTGGTTGCAAAGGTGTGATCAAGTAAGTCCATGCTTAAATACCAAAATATTCACTAAAACCTTATGGAGAACATTGTTCAAGAGGAAAGTGGCACATAAACCTTACTTGGAATAGCAAACCTCGCCATTTGCTCCACACAGCACTGCCAAATCAGTTGCAGTACACATTAATAAGCCCCCATCAACGACAGACTGAACAGCAGAGTCCAGGAACACAGAGGGTGAACCGTATGGATCTAGATCAACCTGGGATAATCCAGACAGAGAACATTAAAAAAAAAAAAAAAAAAAAAAAAAAAAAAAGTTCTAAAAAGCAAAAGTATTTGACGAATACATATTTATGTTTCAATACAAACAGATATGATTGTAAAGAAGTGGTAACTATGAATTAGATGCCTTAAAAAAACATTAAGGTCGTGTTTGGTAAATGGCTGTTAGCTGATTGGGTTAGTGGGTCTGACTAGTTGATAGCATTAGCTGATTGTAGAAAAGTGTTTGATAAATGAGTTGTTAGCTATTAGCTGATTACATACAAAATGACTTTCTCAAAAAGCTGCTCGAAAAAGTTACTTTGAGCAACTTTTTGAATTTTAGGATTTTGGAGCAATAAGTTGTTACAAAAAGCTAATTAATCAAACACTCATATTGATTGTTAAACCAAGTCAAACATCTAATAGTGGTTAAATAAGACAAAATTGGCTGATAGGCTAACTATTTTAAGACAAAATGGGTACAGATATTAGCACTTGACCTACCGCATCAAATTCTTTTGGATGAGTGAGCATATAAACTCGAGCATCATCAAGGTGAGACTCCACCTTTGCAGAGGCCACTGAGCCATTGAATTTTATGTTTCTCAGACAAGCTTCAACAGAGGCTGCAAAAAAAACAGAAATTATTTCCCTTCATGGGTTAAGGTGAAGTAATGGGCACATAATTTGCAGGCAGTCCAACCAAAAGTAAAATGTATATTCATGAGCACACATATGGATGCTTATGAGAGGAAGTCTTATCCACTATCTCATCAGCCTGATTGTATGCAAATTTTTTTAATTTTGAGGGTAGGATGAGCTAAAACACCTTGATCATTTACATCCTGAAACACCAGAATTGGTACACAATCATTTACCTTTATCATTGTCCAAGGCCACGACTTGGCCAATCCCTTCAATTTCACGCGCATATCTTAAAGCCCTCAAACCAGAAGCTGATAGAGCCTGTCAAGTGACGTGACATAAAAGCCAAAAAACACTGCATCACATTTTCTGTTCCTTTGGATTAGCAATAACATAGCTAGTTAATCTACAAAGATAGCACAACAAAAGTATTAGGTACCTCAAGAACTCGTGGTGGCTTCAGTTCTCTGCACTTTCCTCCCAGACTTTTGATTGGTTCTTCAGAAATGCTACATTGCTCATCCTGAGACGTTTCTTCTGTGACTTCACACCCATTATTAGGTGTTCCATTATGCTGATCATTATCAACTGGAGCATCCAGTTCCATACCAGAATTATCTTTATCCTTTGGAACCACCTTTGTTTTTCTGGCCACAAATGCTTCATGCTCCTGCTTCCTCTTTGCTATAAATTCCCTCAAAACAGCAATAGACATATCTCTGTTGTTAACCTGATGTTCAAGATTTAAAACTGTCAGAGATTTTTACTTCATAACCATAATCCATGATGAAGAACAGCCATAAGGTAGCTATCACCAAAACTCATATGGTTGCAGCACAACAAAGACAAACCAAAAAAAAAAAAAAAAAAAAAAACTCCATATTATACTGAAAAACAGAATTGATAGGGGATTCAAAAGTATCCTACAAACAATCACTTAAAGTAAGGAAAGTATTCTCCCTTTCCCCATATGACATTGAAATTATGAAAGTTAAACATATACTGGTCCTTGTCTACAATCTAAGGATTGAAAGACAGAATTCAAGAAAGCAATGATGTCACACATTCTATGCTCCCAAAAATGGTAACTTTATCATCCATTCTAGCAAAGACGCACGAATCTTTAACTTGAACTCTCATCCGTTTTCGAATTGCCATAAAATATAAAAAGACAGTTTTTTTAAGGAAACAGAAGACCTGGGCTTTGTTGAAAAAGACAGCATTCTTGGAGTGCATTATAATCTCGGCCTCTCCTTCCTTGATAATCTTGAAATCATTGAGATCAAACGACGCCATCTTGGGTGCTTCTACCTGCTGCTTCTCTTCATCTCCTGCCTTTCCATGGCCGCCCATATCGCCTGCCTTCCCTCCGGTGGGTTCTTCTAACTGTCGGTTGATTGGCGGCGGACGCCGGTGGTTGGAGGCTACTGAGTACGATGAAACGGCTGCGGTTGCTATGGGCAAGAAGAGGTTTTTCTTGGAGGCGTTGGCTATAATAAGGGATTCTGAGAAGAGAAAAAACATGTAACTATAAATGCCCACCTAGTACGGAGCTTGAAACAGCAAACTTACATGGACCGTTCCTCAATTACAACAACAAACCCCATACCTGGTCCGCTAACTTTGTCGCGCTGAAATTGAACCGGCTGGAGAACCCAGAAAGCTAAACCCTAGTTGCTCGCTTAATAAGAGTTAATAGTACTTCTTTTAGAATTATATATGGTTATTGACTAATATTTAATTAAACCAATTAAGTCTTTAGGTAAGAATCAAATTCTGTACTCAATATCAAATTTCTTTATTGAAAAAATAAGTATATAAATTTACGAAATATTCATTGAACAAAATAGTTTTGGCCTGGAGATAAAATTTAGCAACCGTACCCACCACGTAAATGTATGAAGTGGGCAGCGTGGCAATTCGTGGCGAAGTGGGTGAAAGTTTTATTGAAAATTTTCAAAATTGGCATTTGTAATTTGTAAATGCATATTTTAATTGAAAATGCTATTTACCTTGAATATAAACTTTTGGGGAAAATGTAATTTTAATCCTTCAATTATTCATTGCTAACAATTTCAGTTCTTAATTTTTTGCCATTGTAATATACACCATTAATTCTTCAAAAAAATTACAATTTTGACCCCTAAAATAACAAAATTATTGAACTCTATTAAAAATTTACTTAGTACGTGGATATTTTAGAACATTTTAACGTGTATTTTTTAATTATAATCTTATTTAGTCCCGATATTTCATTTATAAAATAAAAAATATGATTTTAACAAAGTCATGTAAGGACAATATATAGGGACGATGTGCCACAATTTAAAAGGGAAAATTTAAGAAAGAATGTTGTCAAATTTCTATTTTGCATATGAAATACCAAAAATGATAGTGTTATAAAGAACAAAGATACAGAGTAATAAAAATTTAAAATATCCATCTACTAAGTAAAATTTTAATAGAGTTAAACAATTTTGTTGTTCTAAGGGTTAAACATGCAACTTTTTTGAAAAGTAAGAGGGGTGTATATTGCCATGGTAAAAGTTAGGGATTAAAATTGCTAGCAATGAACAATTGAGGGACTAAAATTACATTTTATTTTCCTAAAACGAAACAAGAAAGGGCTAAGTTAGCTTGAGTCGTGTGATACCCACACTATCTTTAAAAGCTTAGTTGCTACTTCACAAATGTGCTAGGAGCATTGTAGCATAGGTTTCTTTGGATAAAACAATCTACGGTTTAATGATTAAGCACTCAAACAAATAAACCCGACGAAGTAGAACACATGAATGTTGAGGAGGACATTAAGTAGAGTTTCAAGAGAGAAGGCATGTTTTTGCATTGTTATAAAATCATCTGCTCAACCAAGGGCTTTTATAGGAGAAGGGATGATAAAAATCATTTAATCATGACATTAAAACTAATAATACAGTCATTGTAACCTCCATAACAGATAACCATTAACCTGTGAATTAATTCTCAAATTCAAAATTGAAATTCATTCCGTAACATCATAATTAATGCCAAGAACGATTTTGAATTTAAGTTTCCCTCCAACAGACAAATTCATGAGAGTCTATAATAAATACCGCTATTCAAGGATAAATCATAAATGACGTGCTAGTCTTTTCAAGAAAAATATACAAGTATTCAATTTGCTTACAAGTTAATTTAAGTTGACCAGTGAGAGAAAAAATTGCTTAAAATTTTCAACATGAAGAGATGAATTTGGAATATTAAAAAACAACTCAAATGCCAAGTCTACATTAGTTGGAGAAGAACACCTTTCGTGTGTTCAATCTTCACATCTTTACTTGTTGAAGTAGAAAGAGGAGTAACAAATTTAAGTTTGTGAAAACTTTGTGGCTTGTGGCTTGCTTTGTGATCAAATCACAAGTCCTCTCCATGTGTATTAGGAGTGTTATACTAGTGGAAACCTCCTAAGGAGTTCTAGGAGAAAAGTGGATTAGACCGAGTTGGCTGAACCACTATAAAATTCTCATCTCTCATTTACTTTACAGACTTTATTTACTGCTCATAATTATTCCATCAAACTCATAATCTTCAAAAAGCCAAAAACGTGTCACAATTTAAAAAGGGTTAAGAATATTTTCCGTTGCGTTTTATAAACTCTATATTTCGAAATTCAAGCTTACTTGAAATAATTTTTAAAAACCTAACAAGTATAGACCCCCACCCCCCCCCCCCCCTTCTAAATTTGTTTTTCAAACCCTTCAGGACCAACATTAATATAGAGTTGAATCAATATATATACATATATATTGATGTGACAAATACGAGTGTATATTATATTTGGTCACAGTGAATAGTCTCGGGTAGTTGTTTATGTAGACAGACGTTCCTGAGCTTAAGTCTTCTAAAGTCTCAAATCTAAAAGTCTCTCCCCCAGGCATTTAATGTGCTTTATATAGAGGTTTGGATGGGACACATGCCAAGCGTCCAGTATGCTAGCCACGTGTCCTTCATGCACCGGTCACGACGATGGCGATCCTAATAGTTCCGTTGCACGTACTTTGAGATTCCTACCACCTACATGATCACATCGGGTTATATTTATCCCATAATAATAGGGGTTGGTGCTTGGGAATAGTCTTCCCAACCAGGCACGGTCGAGAAGACTATCTTGGGTGGAAAACATGTTTTATTAACTAGAGGGACCAATCTCCCGACCAAGTTCGGGTCGGACATAATATAAGATGGTCATATACTCAGAAAATGGGCCGCCAGTCCCACGTACGAATGCTGAGCACATGTATAAATATGCAAGCAATGGATAATCCCGATCATATATATTCAAAATTAAAAAATATTTTTTCCATGCCATATAATGTTCATGTCAACCCTAACTTTTTAAAAACTGCCGCATTGTATATACCAACTCAGCAATTTAACATGTTTTACCTAGAAGAAATCTAGAAATAATGACAATTACATACATTTTCAATGTTAATTAATGATTTAATTACACAACTTTTTTATTTGATGATCTAATTACTATTATTATTTCAAGGGAAAATGGTCAAATACACCCCTAAACATTATAGGAAAGTGCAATTAGGCCCTCAAACATACATTTAAAGGGTTCAATTAAACACATAAACTTCTCATTTTGATGCATTCAGATTCAATAGTAGGTCACCTACGGGTAATACCTGGTAATTAAACATCACATTGTTAAATCAACCCCGCGGGCAACCGTTTTTCAGTCGCCGTCTTCCTCAGTCGGCAAGCAGTGTGGCTTCTTCAACTGAGGAAGAAGCGACCAAGCGTCACCTCCTCTTCCAGGAAGAAGGCGACGTTGGTCGCCTTCTCCCTGGAGAAGGAGGCGACCAAACGTCGCTTCCACTTCCAAGAATAAGGTCGATTCCTCTTCCAAGAAGAAGGTGACGCCGGTCACCTTCTTCCTGGAGGAGGAGGCAACCAAAACGTCACTTCTTCCTCCAGGAAGAAGGCGACCTCGCCTTCTTCTTGGAGAAGGACGCCGATAGGCGTTTTCGATTTCCGGTGTTTTTTTTTTTTAGATTTCTGTTAAAGATGGCGGTCAACGACGGTGGTGGTGGTCAAAGATGGTATATTTACCGGTAACTTATTGATTACCTGCTAAGTGAACTTATATGATTGATTTTATAAAGTTTATGTATTTAATTTAACCGTTTAAACACATGTTTAAGGGCCTAATTACACTTTCCTATAATGTTTAGGGGTGTATTTGACCATTTTCCCTTATTTCAATGCCATGTCATAAATTCAACTCTTCCTACTTCCTAGTAACAATTTTAATATTTTTATGTTAGTGCATTATTAACGAATAATGATGTGGAAGCTACATACTCGCCATGTCATCTACTGACATAAGCATATTTATATTAAGTAACAATGTTAATAATTTTAATTAATTTTTCTATTTTTAATAATACCAGGAGTAAATTGACTAATCTCTATCTCTATCTCTATATCTTTATCTCTATCTCTATCTCTATATATATATTAAAGTAAAATGATTAGGAAAAAAATTTTCCCTCCAAAGTGTGAAAACATTTAATTTATTGTATTCATATTAATTTATAAATTTATGAATTTTAATTACAAATCAAATCAACATAAACATTATTATTAAATTAGTCAACATAACATGTCTATATCATTCTTCCAAAAGGCTGAACCCCAACTCTAAGGGCCCCCATGTCTATATCATTCATTTATAAAATATTGCATATATTATACATTATATATTATATCTCTATCTCTATCTCTATCTCTATCTCTATCTCTTCTCTTCTCTTCTCTTCTCTTCTCTTCTCTATCTCTATTTCTATATATACTAGCATTGTGTACGCGCGATGCGCGAAAATTCATGCCCAATATTAAAACATTGATAAATACAAATAATTAAAATTTATAATTTGAATTATATATATACAAATAATATATATATTTTGTACACACATATATAATTTATCATTCATAGAAATTTAATTAAAATATAATTAAGTATTAAATTAATATATAATAATTTTAATAAAATGATAATTAAAAATAGGAAAAAGATATGATAGAAATAGGTGTATGGTAATAATGATGTGTTATTAAAGTTAGAATTAAAAACTAACGGTGTTATAACGGTGTAAGGGTAGTTTTGTCTAATAACATTGGAATGTATAACATTTAAAGTAAAATGTACATATTTATTTGCATACAAAGAGAGGGACATAAATCAAGGATATAACTTTCATTGAGGCTTATTATGTTTTTATATTAAAGCAAAATTTTCCCTAATCATAATCATCATAAATAATTAAATAAAGATGAAAAGAAAATCAAAATGAATAATAAGCAAAAAGATTTTAGTGGATAGGAGAGTAATTCACAAAATTAATTTGAGTAATAATTGTTGATCCATAATTGAGAATTAACATTGCAATAATTATGTTATGTTTCTAACATTAATTGATTGGAGATAAATTTAAAATTCAGAATCAATATTTACATGAACATCTATACCTACTTCAACACTATAAATAAACCATCATCCACAAGACCACAACCAATAATACAATTATGTTTTGGTCGTGGCTGGAATTGGGAGGATGGTTGTGGCTAGAATAGGGGGAAGAATATTTGTGGGAGTTTAAATCTCTTATAGAGCTCTATACCTTGCGATCTGGGGAAGATGAATCAAGAAATGTGGCAGTAGACACGAAGAAAAAGCTGAGGATAAAAATCATAACTTACTTCTAAACCCGAGGATTCGATTCTTGGAGCTGTTCTTTCTTGGAAGCAGAGTTCACTGTTAGCCGTAGCTCATGAACGCGAAGAAGAAGAAGCAGCTTACGTAAAAAGACTATTTTGCCCTCATGAATAAAAAAATTAAAAAGATTTAAGTTTTTCCAGCCAATTTCCACTGGTGATTTGGTCAGAAGGACCAAATATACTAAAAAAACATAGTTAAACGACTAAATTATTAGTTTTAAAAGTCATGGAGCGAAATTAACACGCCCCCTATAGTCATATGACCAAAAATGTAATTTGGTCATTTGTTAAATTAATAATAATCTGTGCATCGCACGGGACACTTACTAGTACTAGTTTTATAGTATAGAAAATTGAACATTTCAGATCACAATAGCGTAAATAGTGGGTAATGGAGTACTTGAACCATTTTTTTTTTATCAATTACTATTACTAATTAAAAATAATAATAGAATTAATTCATATTGTAACAATTTTGATAAAAGTCATTTATATTCCACAATTTCATAATGTTAGCAGACTTTAAAATTATATTAAAAAAATAATAATTATACACTAACACCCTAGCCAATTTTCTTATAATCCAATTTATAAATCAAAATCCAACCTTCACTACTCATAAGTCATAACAATAATTGTTGTCAAATTCTATTTTATTATTTCAAATCACCATAAAATGTAAATAAATAGGTACAAATGCCTTTTTTCATGTCATCAAATTTTCAAAATTAACTCCCAAAATTGATACATGGTGGTTGAATCAAAGTATTCAATACTCAACTTTAACGTAAGGATAGAAGTGTTTACCTTTTGGTATTAGGAAAAAAGGTTAAAGTGTTAAACATAACAACTGCAGATTTGACCTTATTAATTACTCCGTATAATTTATCAAATCTCATGCACATAATAAAGATGAGATGGACAAATTAAAGCATTTAATACTCATCTTATACTAATAAAAAATTGTGTTTTCTTTTTAGTATTACGAAGAACGTTAAATGTAATGGCTGCACATTTGACTACTTTATGCCACAAATTAAACTTTAATTTTGTCATCATTAGTTAATGTAGACCTCAAATCCTCAATGTTTGAGCTTTCATATTGTCCCAACTCATCAACTGGTTTCAACATTTTAAATAAATTACATGATTGATTTATTTTTCATTATTTTTAGAGTAATAAAAACACATTTTAATGTGATACACTAAAATTATTAATTATTAATTAAAATATTTTAATCATATTTGATTAAATATCTAACAAATTGTTTTATGTTAGAGAATATTTTACTCCAATAGTCCATAGTATAAGTCCTTTAGAAAGTCTCAAGACTATTAACAACATAAACCTATCCACAAAGAGTCATACTAGGAATTTCATATTTTTTTTACTCTATTTTCAATAATATATTATTTGAATGATTTAAAAAGATGACTGATGTTTTAATAAATATTTGATCCACCCACATGACACATGATGTATTATATTGACTCAGGTAGCCCGATTCAAATAACCCAATAATTAAAGGATAATGTATAAAGATAAAGGCAATGAACGTAAAGACATGAAATAGGTGTCACAGAGACAATATTATATTAAGACTCGTGTAATAGCATTACAAGGGAATGAATGATGACCCCTTAATAAGACAAAGATGATGAGTATTTTATACTAAGTCGTGTCCCAACCGCTCTCGCGAGAAAACGACGGGTAGTTTGGACCTCCTTGACCATGTCTAACGCCTCCACTATGTGCGCTACAACGTACCGTCCATGAAGCCACGGAGGCCGAGCTCCGGCCAAGCTCGGAGCTTGGCCTTGGACTCCTCAAGGCGCCGAGCTCGGAGCTCGACCCTAGACCTCCTCAAGGCGCCGAGCTCAGAGCTAGGCCTTGGACCTCCTCAAGGCACCAAGCTCAGAGCTCGACGTGGGACCTCCGAGGTGCCAAGCTTAGGACTCGGCCTTGGGCCCAAGTTTGGTCGGATCCGCTCCACCAATTTAATTTGTTCCGGATCCATTTATAATATATTCATCAACACTTTTTTTTTTTTTATCACCACCAGACAAAGAAAAAAATTCTTAAATTACCAACAAAAAAAAAAGTTTCAATTAATTCTCAAATATCACAATGACAATCAACACCTTTTTTTGAAGGTGTAATTAATTACATTTTTTTTGGTACTGCTGAACAGTCAACGTCCACACCAATCTTAAACGGCAAGGGAACTTTACAATAACTCGGGAGACCTTGAGCCCGTTTTAGCTGCTCCGGCGAGGCTTTAACAACTCCATCTTTTATGCATTGGCAAGCTCTTTGTCTATCTAGCTTCGTCTTTAAATTATTCGCCACGGTTTTCAGGCCCAGACAACACTCCGCCGGTACATCACCGCCTACCTTCACGTAGTTCGCGCACGGTGAAAGTTGGGTTCTGATGCCGTCGCATGAGACCTGCGCTTCCACCCATGCCGGAATTACTGCAAAGGTGAGGATACATAAGAGGAGCAATGACGTCAGCTGCATTCGGTTTCCGACCACTGCCATTATCTACTACTGATAGATGATTTAAGGATATACTAGTATTGTCCCGTGCGATGCACGGTTAAGTTTTGTCGATTTGTTTGTAGTATTTCAATTGACTAAAATGAATTTATTTATTGGACGCCAATTATGTTAAAGGTATTTGTCTAACCAAAAAATATGAATAACAATTTGATGTTTAACAAAAACTAATTGTCATCATTCTATATATAATAATATGTAAAGAACACAATATTACACATTATTAAACACTTCATGGTAAACAACGTTAGTAGTTGACGTACTAACACTGTTCGAGTCACTACAAATTAAAATTTTCAATCCGTCTGGATTGCTCACTCTAGAAGCAGCAACGTACAATTGACCATGAACAAAAACTGGTTTCTTTAAAAGTAAGCCAACGTGTGATAGTGTTTGTCCTTGACTCTTGTTAATTGTCATTGCATAGGACAACATTAAAGGAAACTGTCTTCTTTGGAATTTAAAAGGTAATCTCGGATCTGATGGTGTCATAGTCATTCGGGGGACCAACACTTTGGTTCCTGCGTTGTTTCCAGACATAATTTTTCCTTCAATCACATGATCTGCTAACTTCGTAATAACCAACCTAGTTCCATTGCATAGTCCAAGTGAATGATCTATATTCCTCAACAACATAACAGGTGACCCGACCTTTAAATTCAAACAATGGTTTGGAATGCCGGATGCCCTTATACCATTTAGAAACTCGGGAGTGTGCACATCATCAAGTAAGGTGCCATTTGAGTCTGATTTGCACACACTATCACAACTGTAGTAAGTCCTACTATCCCCAGTATGCAGATCACTCATGTATTCATTAATGGAGTTAACGACGTCAAGGGTTGGGGCTAATATAGCTCGACCTTCAAGAAGACTGGAATCTGAATTCCCAAACATGAACATAGGGAACGTACTTGCAACTATGTTGGTAATTGGGTCTCCATTAGATGGTAATAACAGTTCGTTTGGTATCTCTACCTCTGCATGACCATCATTTTGACCACCCATAGTTCCATCACCTATACTCGCAATCCAATCTGCAAAGTCCTCTAGTTTTTTCATGTCAATCCCCGGCATGCTTCGATTTAATCGAAGGTTTTTTGTCAATCTCAAAACCTTACAATTGTTCCATAGATACGATGAGTTGATTGTTGCAGAAATAATATCCTGTCTAGATCCTTTTGGTACAACTGGTAATATTTGCCGGAAATCGCCACCAAACACCACCGTCTTTCCACCAAATGTTTGGTCAGCACTGTTGGGATTTTGAAATTGAAGCAAATCTCTCATTGTCCTATCCAACGCTTCAAAGCAGTGTTTGTGCATCATAGGAGCTTCGTCCCATATAATCAATTTACTCCGGACGATCAATTCGGCTAGATGGCTACCTTGTTTAATATTACATGTGGAGTCTTCGTTTATTGCAATAGGGATGGAAAACCTTGAATGAGCGGTTCGACCACCAGGAAGTAACAACGACGCAATACCACTGGATGCCACATTGATAACAATATCACCGCTAGCTCGCAATGTTGATGACAACGCCTTCCATAGATAAGTTTTCCCAGTACCACCGTAACCATAAACGAAGAATAGTCCACCACTGCCATTAGACAAATTTTGGATGATTGTGTTGTAGATCTCTTTCTGCTCATCAGTCAATCTTGATGCCAATTCTTCGCTCTCTGCTTGGAGTGCTTCGCGATCATAGTTCAACTCCTCAAATAACAAAATGTTATCAACCAATCTTGAATCATCCATGTTAGGTGTTGGCATCGGAGGAAAGTTTTTAAGAGACTTATTGTGTATTATCAACAATTTTTCTAGCTCAATTAAACCGAAGTTTTTTTTCTCACACTCTTTTAGTATCAAATCTGTAAAGTAAAAAAAAAAAAGTAATAGTATTGTTAGTTATTAGTTATTAGTTATTATATTATATATATATATATATATATATATATATATATATATATATATATATATATATATATATATATATATATATATATGTAATTAAATATATTATGTAATTAAATATATGTTTTATGCACGATTCTAAAACCTGGTTTATTTAGTTGTTTTCTATGCATGAATTCAGCATCTTCGACTAAATGATGCCACACCTCATCCCATACATGTTCAGGTCTGGATAATGAGTTTGAAAGCAATAGTATAACAAACAACTTTCTCATCGCATGTCCAGATGACCAATAACTTGCTTCCTCAATTGCATCAATATACTCTTTGTCGTCATCTAATAATCCACGTGCGTAACATGCATCCCTGAATGTCATGTATTCTACCCCATTAAATGTCATAATGTCTTTAAAACTGGTTGGTCCACGAACAATATTCAAAAGACATCTAAGATAGTATATTTCACCACTACCAGGAGGTACGAAGAAGATGCGACCAATTGAAAACCCCTTCTTTCTTGGATGCCACTCTCGAATATCTCTCTTCCAAACAAATTTATTGGGCATTTCAATGTATGTTAATGAGCGTGCATCTTCATATTTCTTATTGGCTTCGAACCATCCTTTGAACATACTTTGTCCCACTGTTTCACGACCTAAAACATTATCAATATTTTCATCATCAGCGAATACAATGGACTGACAATCTGGAAGGTGGAAGCTTAATCTTTCAACAGCCGGTGTCCGATATTGGACCTCAAAACTGAATAGTCGCCAGGCTGCCTCGCATGCTGAAACGTACCTACAATCATAGTACATATTAATCTCATCCACCACCTCCTCACCGTTTTCATCGATGGTACTATTGTAGAATTCTGCTGTGACACGGTCATTACCCTTGTTGACATACTTGAAGAGGTACTTGATTGATCTCGACTGGTTGCACCATTCTACGTTGATATGAGCCTTGTACCTCAAAAGCAAATATCTATTATGCGGGACAACATATCGGTTGTCTAGTTCTATACCATTCTTCTTGACTGTTCTACCATTGTCCCGACGCATATAAACTGGATACCCATCCTGGTCAAACTTAGACTCTGCTACAAATCGTTTGGGGAAGTGCTTTGAACACTTTCCATTAACCATGCACGGAGAATTCCTTCTGGCGATTCCACATGGTCCATGAACCATGAATTCCTCGACTGCATTGTAGTATTTCATTTGCATTGTCTTGTCTGGTACCTCAGCCTTTATGATTGAATCCATGTACGTCGGACTCGTCATGTCAACTTTGTTCTTGAGGAATATTAGAATATGTGCATGCGGTAGTCCACGTTTTTGGAATTCAATGGTGTAAATAACTACATTTACATAATAATCTTCCATTAGTTTAACATGATATACGTAGACAAAAGTAAAATAAAAAAAAAACATAGCGTTTAATGGAATTCAATATATACCTGATTTCACAGGACCAAAAAGCTCACCATTCTTTACTTCCTTTATTAGACAATCCAATTTCATCTTGAATATACGGGATAAAATATCCGGACGATCTTCTGCATTGAGATTTCTCTTGGTAATGTACCGCTGTATTTCGGGCCATTTTGGATTACACGTGAACGTTATGAATAGGTTGGGGTAACCAATGTGTCTACAAATGGCCATTGCATCCTGGTAATTCTGGATCATGTACCTTGCTCCGCCCGTAAAACTTGATGGTAAAAGTATTCGCTTTCCTTGGGTGCTAGCTTGTACTTCACCTCGCGTCAATGCATCTGTCAGTCCTTTCAAAGCTTCGCACCTCAGCGATTTTTGGTGTGTCCTTATGTATATAAGCCTGGCAGATTCAACCATTGTGTATGCATCCACTATAAATTGTTGAAATAACCTCCGAGCATACAATATGGTAGAAATCTCTTCTAACCTTTCATGTAATCGATAAGCAAAATACTCCCGTTGAGATATACGTTGCCTTGCATTGTTGTTGTTAGAACCATTGGTTGCAAACTGTATATCCTCTCTATATCCATCTTCCCCATAAGGAAATAGAATAGGATATTGCAATGGTAGGTATGATGGATTTAATTCAGTAATTCGCTTAAGCACCCCGGAATTGCTCTCAACCAAAATATCTCTGTGGCCTATGGATGGATCTAAATCACCAACAATAAGTGCAGCAACCTCTGACGTCGTTGGTAGGTTATAAGTTCTTGCATCTTTAGTTCTCTTACCAATTAATCTCATTTTTATCTCTACACGTGGATTTCTCTCAATTTCTGCCTTGGCCATACGGAATGATTTAACCAACACATTATTCCCGTCTAAAACCTCCTTAATGTCCTCCACCACCTCAACATGCAAATCTTGTGTAGCTATGTTCTCCCTTTATAGAGGAATAAAGAAAATGACTCGTTATATTTATTTAAAGTAATTGTTAAATGAATTGATGAAATTAACAAATTGTGGCATCATGTACTATACCTGACAGAAGTAATACGATTCTTAATTTCATTATCAGTATCATGAATATACAATTGTGCAAACTTCGGATAGGTCCCATTTGGTGGAATCAGGCTACCAATACGATGGAAGTTCTGACCACGGATTCTGAAAATTGGAGGGGATGACCCATTGTTTATTGTCCTGTCTATCTTAGCACCCATTGATGTAAAACAGAACATATTATTATACGATCTTATATTTTGAAGAAAATATTTCTGCTTTTCACTCAATGTAAAAAAAAGATCATATAACTTCTTTGGAGGTAGTGTGTTTCTAGGCAGTTTGATTTTCCCGTTCACACAACATCCTGAGTATTTAACTGTGTTTTTTGTTTTTGACTTGTAGAGTCTTTCCTCATACCAAAAAAAACCACCACAATGCTCACATATGTCGTCCGGGTCACCAAGGTCTACAGATTCAACTGAAATTGTAGTATAGAATATTAAGAATTTGTGAGACAATATTTACTTTATACAATCAAATTCTTATAAACTAACCATCTTGTATGTTTGATGTGTTTGTTTGATGACCAAGCACTTCATCCATTTCTACACTTAGGTTGGGATAGTTGTTTTGAGTCGGGAGAGCTGAATCACAATTTGACTCCAAATGCATTTGCACATCATTTATTGTACCATTCCCACATCCTAATAGAATTAACATCTTATTAGATGTTATAATAATAATAAGTAAATTTGAACAGAATATATACTTTCATTGTTTTTTTTTTTATATATATCAAATTTTGATTTTGAATATTCGTACGTGTAGATGATCCATTGTCTGACGCATGATGTATGTCGTGGATTGATGAACTAATTAATGTGCGTTCTACAAATGATGACATTAAAAAAATTAATAATTCACATTACAAAAAATAACATACAAAAAAAAAAAAAAAGACTTTAAGTCTAACCGTGAGAAACTATACGCAACGGGGTAGAGAGTGATGCTTGAAATACACCATAGATATGATTTCGTGTTGTAATATCACATAGACCTCCACTGGTTGAAGCTTTACTTATCTTAGAACTTGACACAATTTCATTCTCTGAGAAAATAAACAATAAATAAATAAATAAATAAATAAATAAATAAATAAATATATATATATATATATATATATAACAATATATTTAATGTTATCTACAGACTTTCAAAAAAAAAATGTTATCTACAGATAAGTGCAAAGGAAATTGACTACAAATGGAAATTATAATTTTTATTTTATACCGTAATAATAATTAAATAATTAAATACTATAAAATATAAAAGAAAATAACATTCTATAAATATTGTTATGTTCTAATAATAATACTAACTTACTAACTATAACTAAATAGAAAAATAAATGTATAAAAAAGATTGGTTCGAATGTTTTTTAAATAAAGTATTACTGTGATTTATTTAATGTAATTTATTGACCCAAAGACCAAAAAATATTACCCCCAGAAATATAAATAGATGAACAAAAGAAATATTATTAAAATTCTATCCATTCGTTTTGTAATATTATAATTGACTAATATTATTTATACAATGTAAAAAATGGTAATTATAGTTTTTATAAAGTAAATAATACATTAAATAAAAAAAATGTTAACAATAATCCCCACGCCAATAATAATAATAATAATAATAATAATAATAATAATAATAATAATAATAATAATAATAATAATAATAATACGGAGTAATAAAGAAAATGATAGTCAATAAATATGTCTCTCGGGAAGCTTCTCATTTCACCATTTCTGTCTCTCTCTACACTTTTCAAAACGAAGAAGATGCTTCTACTTCTCCTACTTGGATATGTTTTTTTGGAAAGCTCAAGGTTGTGGATCTATGTATTTTTTCACATCTCAAGTTCATAGATCCTAAAATATTCTGAGATTTCACTATGAAGTATGAATCCACTGGTTCGGTTAGAGGGGAGGTCCAGGGTGAGACTGAGATCACTGAATGACGAAACATCCACGGGTTCGGGTTGTTCAATGCGGAAATAGTCAGATCAGCATGAAAAGTATGGGAAATGGTCAGATCGCAACTGAGGCGGGTAACAGAGAGAGAGAGAGAGGATTGGGATGATTTGATGAGATAGGGATGAATGTACTCCGCATAGCTTTCGTACTTCTATTACACCACTTATAATGCTTTAAGAAGAGATGAATGTTAGACTGACCTCTGTGGTTCTCAGCAGTCCTTCGCTTGGATCCTATACAAACAGAACCTGTAAGTTTCTTCATTTCTCACTAAATAGCTTTAAAGTAGTGATAGCTTAGATTTATAGCAGCTGTTCAGTTAGTGGAATACTAATAGTTGGATTCTAAATACCAATTTGATTATTAATTGTGTTGCCTATTCATATTTTGCAGTGTTAAATGTCGAAAATAAAATTAGTATTTTTTGACCGTGAAAATAATATATTTTAGTAAAAATTCTAAAATATTATTTTATGACCAATGTTTTGCAAGTCTAATCTCGCGTGCAAAGGTTTTAGAACATTTGTTTAGTTTTTTCTGCTGCCCGAGAACAATTTGTGGCTTATTAGTCCTTATTAACGGTTGCATTTGATGCAGTCCACAGCCGAGATTATATGGCAGGGGAGGGAGCCTTGGAAGGAAAATGAGACTGGCCTCACATTCGATTGCAGGTAGACTTCCTAAACCATGGCATACCTAACCCATCATCTCTATTTGCTCTCTTTAATTTTTTCAATGTTCCAGTTTTCCTTCTGAAAAGGAAAACAAAGATAAAAATGGAGAAGGGTGGAAGAGTATATGGGTACTCCAGTTTTTGTGCATACATAGTGAGTTGATGTCAACCATTACCGTGAATGTTATGAATTTAGAAAGTGAATGTTGAATTTTATTATTACCGTTTAATATTGCTGCTCAGCATTTTGCTTCCCCTTAGGCCCTTATATTTAATAACTCTCTTAATAAAGTGCTAAATGAAGAAGCTTTTAGTATTTCACTTAAGATGATCTCAATGTCGTTTTGAGGTTACTGTCTTTAGGACAATCATGTTGGCAGCTATCTCCCATACTATGAAAATAAACCCCACATCTGTGTGTAACTTGGGCCTAAATTTGTGGGTATTGGTGAGTGTAAACTTCCATTGTATTTATGGCTTTATGCCCTTGTCCAGATGGTTCCAGCGTTCTTGTCCATTATTGAGTGATGTGATGCTCAATTGACAACCTGCTTATCTGTGCTGAGCATGTATGGGGAGTTAGAGTCGGGAAGGAGGGTAGGGGCTTTGAGGGGTGAGGTTTTGTGTTTCGGTGTTTCCTAAAATTACAGAGTAAAGCTCATTTTTCTGAGATGGTTTTGCTTAATCCTCTATATTTGTGTACTTCTGTTGATAACCTGAGCATAACATCTGTTCATCTTAGTGATATTAAAGGAAAAATATTTATTATTTCAGTTCTGAGACGAAATCTTCGTCTGTTTGTCTTTTGGTGTCTTGTTCAGAAAGCATGGTGTAGTGCACTCATCATCTAAGAACAGCCAGTTCACCTAGAGTTCCGAATGGCTTTAACGACTTTGAGGTTAAGGTGTTTGACGGATGTGCAAACCCATACCTCGGTCTGGCTTCCATCATTGATGCTGGGATTGACGGTCTATGCAAACACTTAACTCTCCCCCAACCATTAAGTAAGTTTGCACAATTCTCTTACAATGTCAGCTCTGTTAAAACTACTCCATTCAGACAACATAGTAGTTTGCTGCTTGTCTTAGTTTGTCATAGAATTCTTAATATTAGTTTTGAGATATTTTGATAATTTATCCCGCTAATTTTTGTATGGATGACGTCTACCCTCTCGAGAAACTATGCCAAGCCGATATACCTAAAGGAGTACACAATGCGGCATGAGGATCCCGCTAATTTCTGCGTGGCTGGTGTTTACCCTCTCGAGAAACTACGGCAAAGGGCATGCGAGGCTTGGAAGGAAATACCACTCTCCTGTAAGCTCACTATACACTATACATACACTCTATGCTCAATTGCTCATTAACATATATGTCAATTAGAAATTCCCATTTCTCGGCCTCTTACTCACATTGTTGCACATTATTTTTTTTTCACAGCATTAGTTAACTTTATATTGTTGTCTTTTATTACTAAGTTTTAGACTGTAAATTTTTTTTACAAAAGCTAATTGTAATGTTCTGAGTACATAATTTGAGGATATTGTTGCACTAATTTGAGATTTTCAATCATGAGAATTATCAAAAGTACTTATTTTCAATACTTTACAATATTGTATAACTCAAAAATATAATAATCTATACATCTATACATTCAAAAGTACTTATTTTCAATACTTTACAATATTGTATAACTCAAAACTATAATAATCTACACATTTATACATCCGAAGAAAAAAAAATAATGGACTCTCTATAAACATCTATTATAGATCTATAAATATTTCTGCTTCTCACTCGATGTAAAAACAATGGACTATTATAGATCCACAGGAATTTCTTCACCGTGGACTCTAATCACCAAATCATCACATCAGCTAATCACCACATCTGCTATATATGTTTAGGAATACTTGAACTCACTGCAAAAAAATATTCAACAATCCAAACAATTTGATTACAATGCAACCACCTACTTGGAAGAGGAGGTGATTGAAAAACTTGATAATCAAACCTAATATTCACAAATATTTTAAAACAGTAAATTTTTCAAACCACGGTAAATAAGCAAAACGATCCTTGAGTCAGGCCACAATTTATTAAAAGATCCATGTACCATTTTTTGTCCTTGAGCCACCAAAGACCCTAGTAGCAGATGTAACCAAAATTAAAAAGAAAAGAAATGCCAAAAGGCATCATACTGTCTTTGTAACCCAATAACCAAAAAAAAAAAAAGATAAAATGCCAACAGGCATCCTGGTCCACATGCATCAGAAACCTCAGCAAAGCAATTTATATTCAATCACTTTCCTCCTTAATCCCTTTGTTCTTTGATGTCTGGGTTGATGAAGACTCGTCTAGAAGGCGCCTCTTTACAACTGAACTATCACCCACATCATCTTGATTGCAAGCAACACCAACCCCAAGAAGATTTTCCCCTTCATCAACCTCAACAAATTCCTAATTAAAAAAAAAATCAAACTTATTATTTGCACATAATAATCGTTACAATAAAATAACATAAAGTGTACCTCCTCAAAATCATCATCCTCCACCATTTGGTCAACTTTGGAGCTCAAATACTTGTCAGGAATGCGCAGAAGCTCTGGTGCATGCACTTGAATCAATCTTTGGTCAGTGTTTATCCTCATGACAGAAAATACGTTGTCGAGATTCTCAAATTGTTCTTTCCTAACGACCACCCTAAAATAGCATGGCACTGTTTAACAAGGATTGTAATTCTGATGGGATCAGTTGAGTTGCCTAACAATAAAAAATAAATCTCCCGTTAAGAATCAACAACACAACAACACGTACTGTAAAATACATTTATATATATTCCCAGAACTAAAATGTTATAAAAATATACATTTGAATGCCTTGACTTCAACTCTGCAACAGAAATTCCCAATAGCTGATTGCACTCTCTGTCCCAAAGGAGAAAAGGTGCATTTCCTTCTAGATCTGCAACTCTGATCTTCAACCTGTATCTCAAATTACCTTCTCGACAGCTCTTTTCACACTTTGTACAGTAATATAGCCCACCTTTGACTCAAGCTTCTTGTTACAGCCAGAAGCTCTACATGAACTGTAATACCAATTGACAGAATCCTCTATAGCAACTATCCTAGCTGCAACCCAGTAGTCCCCATACTATAGCATAAAAAGTTGTAAAATGCATATAAGTACTGCATGGATAGTTGCTATAATCTCACACCATTTGTGGCTCTACTGTATTAGGTTTTTATATATTTTAAAACCTAATACAGTAGATTTTTATTATTATACAACACAAACCAATTACCTCTCTGGTTTGGTAAATTTCACTGATAGTTTTCATATCTTGAGCATTACATTGGGTCTGCTCCATCATTGGAAAGGATTCAATGCTCCTCATGGGTGTTTGCACACCACGAAGAATTAAACTAAAAATAGTAAAGTCATAAGAAACAATTTTTTTTAAAAAAATAGTACAATACTTAAAAATAAATTACTTTTACCTCTCCCTAAACTCCAAAAACTCTTTAGATTGCTGGTTAATAAGGACTTGTGTCACATCATATGAGCTGCAAAGCCTCACCTCGCCATCTAGACATTTAACAAATGTTACACATATTTTACACAGAATAGTGTATATATAAGTATATATGTACTTACTCGTGGCATCTCTCCTAATTCGACAGAACTGCAAGATCACCACCATTGGTTCATGACTACTTGCATTAAAAAATGGCTCAATCTTACCAACATGATCATCCCATAGAGTACACCTAATCTGATTTCCACTGTAAAAGTTGAGGGAAATTAGATTTCTCAAACTTTTAATACCAAAAAATAAATAAGTACCCAACTTTATATATAAATGATTATAAATTGATAATAAAATTGGGGAGCTTATATGCTGGGATCCACAGACTGGGAACCCTTTGGGCAATCCTCTTACTGTAAGTCTCCATTTGAGTGCCTTTGTTTAACTGTTGAGATCACTGGTTCCGTTACTCTTTCACCATTGCACATCCTACTTCTTTTCAAGTTGATATAATATTATCATGAAATGATTTTTAGTGGTGATAAACCTATAATAAATTGATGCCTTAATTTTCCACCAGGCATGGTGATTGATCCAACCAATCATGACCAGACTAAGATTTGGTCTCCCTTTTCCCTTAACATTATCTCATTAGCAACTTGACTTTCTTAATTTAAATATATATTAAATAATTACCTTAAATCCTCAATGATAAAGGCTATAAGCCAAGTTGTTCTCCAGGAAATCATTTTTTCCTGAGTTGATATATAATACAGATTTAAATATATATATATTAAATAATTACCTTAAATCCTCAATGATAAAGTCTATAAGCCGAGTTGTTCTCCCAGAAATCATTTTTTCTTGAGGTGAGTATATTTCAGCCACTTTTCCAATTACATCTGTAATGAAATTTAAAACAAAATTTAACACACTGGAAAATAAAAATAATTTTTTTTTAAAAAAAAAAAAGGTAATTTCAACATAATATACGTACCAACCAACAGCTTATCATTAACACCTTCAACTTTTAGAGCCTCAAATGGTGTGAGACGGAACATCTGACTTGGAAACTCAATTCTTTTGAATTGCTTAGCTATAGTCTGGTAATTGAACTTGATCATGTACTTGTGAGGGGTTGTCCTGTACGTGTAGAAGTTGTTGATGACCAAGAAATTCTTAACAGCCCAAACTGAACCTTCCTTAAAATTGTTAATGAATTTTGGAACCAATTGTTTTGGGATGTGGGCATGTACCAATGTTCCCTGCATATATATATATATATATATATATATATATATATATATATATATATATATATATATATATATATATATATATATATATATATATATATGAAATTTAAATAAATATATAAATATTGAAATTAAACAGTGTTATATTCAATATGAGATTGCATTGATTTCCTTGCATCTGTTATCACCTCAGAATCATGAAACACAATTTCCTTGCATCTGATTGCATTGCTTCCTGTCCTCTCCGATACATTGTATGCACGAATAACGCGAACCTTCATTGCACTCGTAACATTGAAGGGTGAGATATCACTTCCAAGAACATACATTGGATACATACTGTATGAGAGATGAGAGATATTACTTGTTGTTCAGCAACGTGTGGTTGAATGCATAGGCCTGTAATTCACTATTTATAGAATTGTTAAGGAATCAAATTGTTCCATATTTACGTTAGTAATCCAAAAGTTGTATCCTTATTTTTATGTATGTATGTATTTGATTTGATTTGATGAATTCTGAACAGACGTGGAGTCTGAACAGACATAGGCATTGAAGAATTTTTTTTGAAAAAGGCATTGAAGAATTTAATTTTGTATCAACAATGTATTTAATTCTTTAATGTATTTGTTTAATTCTTCATTGAACAGACTTGAATTGATTTGAATTCTGAACTGACTTGGATTCTAAATAGACGCGGCATTGCATTTGTTAATCCAATATATTCAATTTTATTATTATTATTATTTTATAACAGACTTGGATTCTGAATAGACACGACATTGCATTTGTTAATTCAATATATTCAATTCAATATATATTATTTATTTATTTTTTATTTTTTTATTA